TTTAAATTACAATGATGATAGTTTCTCGAATCAATCACACACCTAACTGAATTTATGCTGAAATATATGTGCAGAGACTGCTGCATTTTCAAACTAGGCCCTGGATTTATGCCACTGATTATTCATTGGCTACTCTTTCCCTTTTGTATTTTTTGGCACAATTTACTAACCTCCCTTTCTCCACCTGCACAAATCAAAGTTAATTCAATAAATAGAAACAACTGGACAAGTGCATACGAGAAAAGAGGAGTGTGGAAATTGTTACCTATGAAAATTAAGCATTGAGAGTTGCAAAAAGGCACACAAGAATGACTTGGAGAAATTCTAATGTCCGCCCGCTAGACCTCGTCACCTGTTCAACGACGGACTCAAACAAGCTGGCCACCTAGCATCAGGGTCGGTGAGAGCATGCCCAAGTTGGAACCCAATACAAGAGGGTTCCACTTGCCTGTGTTTGTTGTTGCACAGGCGATCATTGTTCGGTGGACGGACCTAAGAATTTCTCCATGAGTTTTGGAAACAGGAACCAACTCGGGATTTGAATCATAAGCAATAAAGAAGGAAACCCAACAAATTACATGGTACTCGGGGCTCACAAAGTGTAGCCCAAGAAAATCAAGGTTTACCTTCTCGGGCATGTTTCATGGAGACCCAAATGCTTGAAGGGCTGATTTTGAATGTAAAAAAGACTACAAGCTTGACCAAATAGAGCCGGCCCATCCCTTCTTCAAAAACAACCAATAACTTGTGCGTTTCCCCATATTCCTTTCCTTTTATGTTCATTAAGTAGGATTTATTGTTCAAAATGTCTTCTAAAATGTATTTATACAAGCAATATTAGGATATTAAAGATTCGAACACAAGACCTCAAATGCACTATAAATAATGTTCATTGTCAATTTTTACGTAGTTTTGGCAACTTAACAATATAATGCGTCAATTAAGTTAAAAACTTGTATCAACTTTTCTATCAAAAGATGAAAATTTGAATTTTGGAGCATTTTCTTAATCTCTCAGATGTACTGCAATACCTTTGTAATAATTCATATGTATCATTGCAGCAATGGGGAACACATATTATCTTTGGACTGTTCACCTGAGGATCAGGACAAATCGAAGCAGTCGAAAATATTATCCTTAAAAAGTTGAAATTAACCATTAATTGATAAAAACATAAGCTAGCTAGCTGTATTTTTTCTTTAAATGGAGAACGATTAAGTGAGATTAGTTTTTCGATAATGGTCATTTTCGAGGCATCTACTCTCCCCTAAAGGGAAGAGGATCATTACACCAAAAACACCCCGCCCGTCCCTCCTCCACCAAATTTATTGACAATGAAAGCCTAAAAAAATCTTTGAATGAAACCCTAAAAATATTTATGCTGAGTGCTTCTCTTTATCAAACTTTGATCTAAATAGTAGAGCATGCGCAGCTTATCAGAATTATTGAAGATAATTGGTTGGCCATGGCCTTCACACAGACAGGTGACAGGTCATCAATGTCAACAATTATCTTCTTCTTCTGCAGATTCAATTAAAGTTATGGATTGCCTTGCCCTGACCTGCCCACTTGATCTATCTTCTTCAATAATATTATCTCAATTATTGAAAGTTGTTTAAATTCAATTCCTCTTGCAAAACAAGGGATGAATCAAGTACCCTGATCAGTTAACTTCCTCTTTGATATTCTCCTTCTTAGTTTGCTTAGCAAGATATATATCATTGGCACGAGACAATGTGTTTTTCCAACCGGCAGTAATATCTGTTTGTGTTTATTAATTTGTTTTTTGTGTCGCGTAGATAAGCATAAGAGCTGCTAAGACTTTACGTAGGAATCAAGCCAAAAATCTACTTGAAATGAGAAACTAAGGGGTGGTTTGGGAGTGAGGTGCTTAAAAAAAAAGCAACCATGAAAAAAAGCTGTGAGGGTTTTAGGTGTTTGGTAAACTGAAAAAAAAAAAAGCTTATTTTGGAAGATGCTGTGAGAATAAGCTGAAATCAAAGGAAAAAGTTGAACCTGCTATTTGTAGCTTTGGAAAACTGGCTTTTTTTCAAAGCACACGGAGCTACAGTGCTCCTTTAATGAAAAGACCCACTATCAGACTGCTTTTTTTTCAAAAGCACTTTTACAAAAATGTTTACCAAACACTCTGCTGATTTTTTTCACAGCCGCTTATTCTCACATCAGTTTTTTTTCAAAGCACAGCAATATCAAACCAGCCCTAAAATTGATAGTCTAAATCGTATTAGGATTTGGAGATTAATTAATAAAAGAACACAAAAGAAATTTAATTAACTTCTCGAATATCGTTATTTGTTTTTTTGATCTGTTTGATAACTGAGATTGGTAAAATCCTTACTCCAACCAATTTCTCAAACATAAAATTCAAAATTTTAAGACTCCTACGTGGATCTAATTGTTGCATGAATTCATATCTACCAAGTGTTCTTCATCAAAACCACTCATAAAAACGGGTCCCAAATCATTAGGGTTGGTGAAAACCACTCATAAGTAACAAGGACATCCATTGCATCATTCATCACAAGATCCTGTGATTGAAATTCTTGCCAAAATGGTACGGCCTGAGAGATGGGGTCGACCCTGTGACCTTTGCCATGCATACATACATAGCAGTCAACACTGAAACAGTCATACCTCTCTATCTTCTCCTGCAGAAGCAGCAGCAGAAGCAGAAGCAGAAACATGAATAAAGGGACCCTCAAGAATCTAAAGCTACCTTCCAATTTCTTCCCTTTCATTATCACTTTCGTTTTTCACCATCTTCACTTGTCCTTTTCTATTTCCAGTCTCAATACAGCCAAGTATATATATAAGTACTTTTACTCATGAGTTGTTAGAAGGAAGTGATTTTTGAAAAAGTTAGGTTTTCACTGTAAAACTAATTGACAATATGGTAAGTAAATTAAATTATTTATAAGTTCATGCAAGATCTTTTCTCCCGTCAATGTGGAATTGACTCCCAACACGTCCTCTTACGTATGGCGAATTTTTAAGCATAACACGTGGACAACACAAACGGAGTGACGTGGAGCACATGTGGTCGTTGGCTTCACACATGAGACAACATGATCTGCTACTATAAAACATTTGATGTTCTACAATTAAACTAATTGGCAATTGACAATGTTAGATTCATTCTCAATAATTTTCACACCTCTTTTTATTTAGGATAATGTTATTTACATACTCATTTTTGCCTCCCCACACCCTTATTAATTTTTGGTCATTGATCTTTTTAAATTCATTTGATCAGACAGTAAAAAATTAAGAAGGATGTGTGAAAAGTAAAAATATGAGTGTGGATGGCACCACCATTTATTGATGAAAATTGAGTTAAATAAATCAAATGGAATCAACAGTCAAGATTATGCAGGAGTTTGTAAGAGGCTAAAAAATGTGTGAAAATCACTTCCCTTGTTAGAATTACTTTTCACAAGGTGTTTTTCTGGAAAACATCAATTCTATGAATCATAAACATTTAAAAGTTTTTTTTCCGCAAACAAGCGTCACATACTTTTAGTTTGTTTTTAAAATACTTTTAGTCATTCCAAAAGCAATTCAAAATAGTTTCTTCTTACACTCAATACAGTGGAGGGGAGAAAGAGAGAGAATTGAACTCAAAACTTTAAATGCATGAGTAAATTCTCTTAACCATCTAAGCTAACAACTTCTTACAACAATCCAAAACAGGTTAAAACTCATCAAAGATTCAATAGTGTGTGTACCTAGAAGGTGTAATGAGAGACCTGAAAAAAACCCTAGTTAATTGTTATGCCACATTCAGATGTATCACTATTTGTACATACAACAGAAAGCAGGAAAAATATAATTGAGACTGTCCACTGAGAAACACATGATGCATGTCATCTTTCTCCTTGCCATGCCTCTTTTTTACTCTCTCAAATGTCCGACTGCCAACTCGATGAAATATTCAAACTGTAAAATTATCAGAAGACCTCCTTTGAAAGCCTTTTTTTTTTTTATGAAATTATGAATTTACTATTTTATCTAGTTTTATCTTTCAGATGTTTGAATATCGACAGGACATTTTATGAAAGAATAATGTTATTCACACACTTATTTTTATATTTTACATACCAATTTTTTTGCCATTGATCTTTTTCAATTCATCTAATTCGACAACCGAAATGTAGGAAGAATGTGTGTGAAAAATAAAAATGATAGTGTAAATAGCACACCCTTCTTCTGGAAACCCACTAATTTACTGCACATTCAGAAAAAGGGAGGGACTTAGATTGTCTGCCCTCCCCATCTCATACATTTCCCATGCCCTCCTATATTATGTGGTCACGGTTAAGTCACGTCAACATTTTATATTGATTTTTTTATAAAAATAATAAGATAAAAAGCAATTAGAATATAAAATATTGACGTGACTTAACCGTAACCACATAAATAGGAGAGTATGAGATGGGGAAGCAGACAATCCATAGCCAAAAGGGAGTCCTCAAAAATATACAAGTATCGGGGCACTCAATGAATTGAAAAAGAGTTTGGGCCTCACAACTTCACTAATAGAAGGGGGAAAAAGAGTAAATAATTAAAAATATGGACCCTTTTTCTGCTTTACTTTGCAAAACAAGTGGTTTCATTATTGTCATCAGTACTGCCGCACATTCTCAAGCTTCACATTCACACCATCTGCGACAAATGAATGTGTCTCCATTTTATTATTAAGGGACAACCCTTGCATTTTTGTAGGCCTTTAATCCCTAGTAAAGTACGGGCATCGATGAGGAGTGTTTAGGTTTACCAACATTCGTTTAACAACGTTAGTCGTGTTAACTGCGTATACATCAAAGATCTTATAATCCCACGAGTTTTATTATGTCTTTCAATTCTATAAATTTTATATCGTATCTGAAATAGTCACCTTTAAAAAGACATGTTCTTAATAGAAAAATATATAAAAGTTGGAAACACATGCAATGGGGAAAGAATGCTGAGGAAAGCTTCTCTAAAAGGAGAAAGGAAAGATATGATATTTGATTAATAATATAATACTTGCTTTAGAGATTAGAGAGAAATTGTTCAGACACATTTGCCAATATCTACAAACTAAGAAAAATAGGGGACACACATAATTAACACCCAACAAGGCCATCCATGCATGCATGCTTGCTTTTGACCAAAACTCTTCTCATACGTGATGATTTTGCAGCTGCAACAGCCTTGAGTAAGCTCCGTCGGGGCGGCTCACTAGTTCCGAATGGCTGCCGTGTTCCACAATGCGCCCGTCTTGCACCACGCCAATGCTGTCCACCCCTCTAATTGTCGATAAACGGTGGGCAACTAGCACGGTGGTGCGGCCCTTCATTAGCCTCTCAAGTGCTTCTTGCAACACACATTCTGATTCAGCATCAAGTGCACTTGTGGCCTCATCTAGCAAGAGTATTCTAGGGTCCTTGAGCACCGCCCTTGCTATTGCAATTCTTTGTTTCTGTCCGCCAGAGAGCTGAACTCCTCGCTCCCCAACCGGGGTTTTGTATCCATCAGGCAATCCGCTAACGAAACCATGCACGTTAGCAGTACGTGCAGCTTCGATTACTTCTGCTTCGGTTGCGCCTTCTTTGCCGTAGGCAATGTTTTCAAAGATGCTTGCTGCAAACAGGGCTGGTTCTTGTTGCACCAGTCCAATTTTCAACCGAAGAGACTTCAAGTTCAACCGGCGGATGTCCTTGCCATCGATCATTACTTTCCCAACTAATGGATCATAAAATCGCTCGATCAATGCAATCACAGAACTCTTTCCCGAACCACTAACTCCGACAAGCGCTTGGCTGTGGCCAGTACGGATTCTGAGACTAAAATCTTTGAACACCATGATATCAGGTCGCGATGGATATGCAAAATCAACATGCCTAAGTTCAATTTCTCCGCGAACTGATTCAACCACCTCAGCCTCAGGATCATCCGGGTCAATCCTTGTTTGACGATCAAGGATTGAAAATACCGAACCAACTGCTTCACCGCCCCTGATAATCTCCGGGGCAAGGCTGACAGTTTCAGCAACTGAATTCGCCGTTACAACAAGGACAATGAAAACCTTAATAACTTTCGAGAAGGTGGAGACACCTTTGCTAACGAGGTGGGCACCATACCACAAAATGAGAGCTTCAGAGGCATGGAGAGCAAACTGAGAGAGGCCAAATAGGACGCCAGCAGTTTGGCTGCGGCGGAGGCTTCCCAGCAGTGGGAGACGGAGCTCGTGGCAGAACAGAGATAGGATCTTGTTTTGGGCATTGAAGGCGGCGACTGTCCGAATGTTGCTCACTCCCTCCCCAGCAATCATGCTCGTCTTTGCATGAGCCTTGGCTGTGTCTCCAGCAAAGCCCTTCAAAGAAAGTTGCTGCTGCATAACGCACAATTGCAGGATTAAACAGTCAGTAAACTGCATTACGTAAATGAGTAATAACTAATAAGGTTCTTTACTAACAGAAATTTCCATTTAGTTAGAGTTTGTTCCGTTCTTT